TTGCCGAAGTAGGCCCCATTGCTCTTCGTGCCCTGTAATGAAAGTTTGCCAGAATTTTCTCCCATACCTTCATTCGTGCAGATGTTTGTACTGGTTGCTTTGCGTGCCACTTCTGAGCCTTATCGATCAACTACTGATTCAGATACAAAAGTGTCCACATGAAAATCGCCGTTAACTTTCTAAAACCCACAGAAGTGGTTCACTCTTTCTTCGATGTAACCGTTCCTCTGAGCTTTGATGATACACATTCATCATCAGTTCAAAGATAACAACATTTCTACGCATCTGCTATGCGATTCAGGAGGGAAATCATCCACGAATCGATCGACTTGTCCCTGCGTAGCACGAAGTGCACAAACAATGCGGTGTCACAAAATGTGAGGCTATTTCCCCTTTTGGGGAAGGGGAAGCAGTGTTGTGAATTCATAGGGCAATGATATGATTGATGTAATCCGCAGAGGACGTAAGGTAAACGGCAAGATAGCACTTGAGCATCCGGCGCGCGGTCCCGTCACGATTACCCTGAAACGAAGCGCGCGCTCATACGATTGCACAACCACGAAGTATGAAAGCTCTCGTATTCAGCACAATCGAATGAAAGCTCTCGTATTCAGCACAATCGGATGAAAGCGCTCGTATTTTGCACAATCGAAAATCAGGCGCGCACCCGACGAATTCTAGAAGAAGCAACTAGATGTTTTAATTCGGAATGCTTTGAATGACTTGCATAATGTTGGCTATTATAATGTACACTTAATTAGCAAAATCACCCATTCAAGAGCGAAGTGAACTCTTTTGATCTCCGGTGTGTGTGCAATCACTTTCCAGATGTCAACCATTGTAAGGAATGTAGAAAGTCTCGCCATACTCAACCAACATGATGGGGTCAAATTCAAGAGCTGGCCAAAATGCTTCACCAGAACGGCTCCCAAGAGTCAACCGGGAATTATCTGAACCAGCCCGTTGAAAAATCAAGGGATGAATCAATGCGTACACCTCCTGCCACCCTTTCCGCAGATAGAGTACTTCGTCAGGAGCGTTGCATATAAAATGCCCTATGCTTCGTATTGCTGCAGGCGCACTGTATATACCATTTTCATTAAATCGGACACTTTTCAAACCAAATCGGACCATTTTCAAACCAAATCGGACACTTTTCAAATCAAATCGGACACTTTTCAAACCAAATCGGACACACCTCTTATAATAGGCAGTTGATAACTAGACCATACTAGGTACTTCTGCAAGCCCCGCCCCAACACCCGCCCACCTTTCCAGCGCGGTCACCGTTTTCCAATAATGTTTTTATGAAATCTGCTTCTTCGACTTTTTTCTCTACTTTGCCTACGTTGCACCCCACACACACAACCCACACACACACACACACACACACTTACTCCACGCACCACCCACTGGTCAACACACACACACCACCGACGCTCATCACAATATACACACACATCACACACACACCACACACGACACACCACCGACACAACATTCAACACACACATCACAATCACACACACACACCACCCACACACACCCACACAACACACACACCCCACAATGCTTTTGGTCACACGATCACACACCACACACTACACACATGCACACAACACACACAGCGAGGCAGCCACACAGGCACACTCACACCACAGGGGTGACCCGCCCCCGGTGCCTTAAGGGTTGAATAACCAAGAACATAGTACGGATATCAGAATCTGGATCCCGGCCGCCAGCTTCACAATGCAAGTGATGTGAGTTCTGACATTTTTATACACTCGCTTTAGACATCGGTTTTCACATGTCAATCTCTTGCACCCGAAGAACAATGATAGGCCATGCTTTACAGCCGTTACGCACACAGGTCGCGCCGAAGCATTCTGATCCGCGCAGGACATGGTTCGTTTTCTTACGGAATTTAAGTGGGGAATTTTTCTTCCAAATTTCCCTTTTTAGGCTGTGACAGCCGTCCGCGCCCACTGATGGAGTCTCGCTCCACTTCGTAGAATCCCCGCCACATTTTAACAAATGATGGCAGACTCGGCCGAGCTAAGTGACCGCTACTAGAGCGATTATGGGCCTCTACCATCACCCCCGAGGAACATCATGTTTCTCACTTTTCCTTCGGGTGTTTGCCTTTTTTTTCATCTAACTGCCTGACGGAGAGGCTGTACCTAATCCCTGTTAGTCGACGGGGTCGCCGAGCTCACCGATCTGCATCATTTTCCTTGAAAATGTGGCATGCGGGCTTCTACAAGTGGCCGCGAAAGCTTCCCATTAGTCGGGCTGGCGACCGGCTTGTCATCTAACAGCCTAAAATAATGAAATTTCGGAAGCACAAATTAATTTAAATTTCGTTAAAAACCGAACCAAGTGGGCGTCAGAAATGGCGGGCCTGGTGCGCTAGATGCGATAAACGGCATGCTATATTTGCTTACTGTGAAGAATTGAATGTGAAAAAACCGAATGCTCTTAAAGAGTTATAAAATTCAAGGAACAGTTCTACATCCCCTTGATTGTGAAGTGGGCGCGGATAGATTGTATCCGTACCAATCCTTTTCAATATGAAGTGTTGTGTGTAGTGTGTGTGGTATATGTGTGCTGTGTGTGTGCAACCCATAGGCAAAAAAGTGAGAAAAAGTCGAAGTAAAGGCAGAGTCCATAAAAACATTATATTGAAACCGTGACCGCGCTGGAAAGGTGGGCGGGGTGTTGGGGCGGGGCTTGCAGCGGTATGTGGTCTAGTTATCAACTGCACTTGGCAGGGGGTGTGTCCGATTTGGTTTGAAAAGTGTCCGATTTGATTTGAACAGTGTCCGATATGGTTTGAAAAGTGTCCAATTTAAAGTGAAAATGGTATATATCACTCACAAAATGCCACATTGTAATGTGTCATTTAATTGCAGGAGTCGCAAAATGAACGTGCCAAATTGCTTGGATTGCTACGACATTGATGAAGTGTACAGGAGCTGTTTCCAACTGCTCCCTGCAGATCTTGAAGAAGCCGGGCTTTACCTCCAGTTTAACGGAAATTCAAAGGGAAACCCCACACCATCAACATTATTTTGCAAGATTCGATGCTTTTGTGAGTATAGTGTGGTGATGAGCCCATGTTGGGCTCATAGTAGGCAACCTGAGATGTTACTTCTGGTGATGGTAGTTGACCACGATGCCCTAGTGCCAAAAACGCGCCGCGGCCGCCGCTCACAAAGGCCAGATGCTGAAGTGCGATTTTGCCGTTTACCATCGCCCTCCGCAGGGGAATTTCGAGTGGCCACTCAGCATGAAGCCATCGAACGCGGCGATGAACGTTTAAAGTTTGATGCTGATCAGCACATGGAATGCAATATGCATTTGGCTGTTTTCATACATCTCAGGACCTCGGAATGCAAGCGTAGACCTCAAGACTTCTTTAGTTGTGGGCCACTTCCGTTATGAAACAGGTAACTGTGTAGTGGCTAAGGCCATTTGGATTCCAGAAATTTCGGCACCGAGCTCATCTTTAAATTGCCTAAGTCATCAAATCCGCTAAAAACTTCTTAAAGGTAGTTTAACATCCTGATTACCCTGAGCGGTCGTGTCTACCGCGGCTCTGATATTGACTGGGTAGTGCTCTCTTTTTACACAGGATTCTGCTACTATCCCTGGTCGACTTACTCATCAAGCTGGTCATTGTTAGCGTCCTGTGCTACTGCTACTGAATACTAGTAATTGCGGCACGAACTCTCTGTTGGCTATTTTTATTCATTTGTATTCTCCGACGAGATCAAATAGTCGAGATTCCTTGTGGCGGGGATCGATATCAAGTTCAACAAAGCCACTAGTTCAAGTGTATTGTTGATATTTCTTTTCTGTTTTCATTAGTTTTCTACACTTCAACGCATCATATAGCTTCTTGTGTGGGCTGAGTCAACCGTGATCAATAACAAAGCCTTCTTTTCTCTTCATTGACTTATTGATCACCCTTGACCCACCGCCATGGATACACCGCTCCGATCTCGCTCACTTCCAGCGTCTAAGAGGAGACATGTGGAGTTCACATCGCCTGGAGAAAATGACGAACTTTCCAAACTTATGGACTCGGATGTTCCCGACTACGTTAAGGTCATCTTATCAATTTTCAAAGATGCTCGCGATCAGTTGGAATCAATAAGCCAGTGTTACGGTAAACTGAAGGAAAAGAACACTCAACTAAGATCAGAAAATTCCCGACTTAAGAGTCTTTTAGAAATGAAAGGAGCCCAACTAGGTCCTCAACATAGTTCACCATTCCCTTCTCCTACTAATGTTGAATTTGCTGATCTTGAGCATGAAGTTGAAAGAAAACGTCCAGTTGTCATTTCCGGGATACCCGAATTTTCTTCTTTCTCCTCTGTGGATCGAGCTTATCGTGATAATCATGCTGTTAACTGTATTCTAGATCATCTTGATGTCGAGTGTATTCCTGTTAGTGTGTACCGTTTGGGAAAACCTTCGACCAGTCGTGCGCGCCTAGTCAAGGTTGTCCTCCCCTCTTCTAAATTCCAACGTGTCGTTCTTAAGCGTGCTTCGCGCTTGCGTACCTTTTTCCAAAAAGGCATATTTATTCGCCCCTCGCTTACTAAGGAGGAAAGAGATCGCATTTGTGAGTCACGCTCCCCCAGACTCAATCAAACTCACAATAGTTCTGTGCATGCTGAAGTTGATTGCGTCAATAGTTCTGACCGCCTTGAAAATGGTTCTTCTATACCTCGTTCCATTTCTGATTCCTCGAAAAACATGTAGTTGTTCCTCGGTATTTCAATGTTTCACTTAACTGCTTTAGTCGCAACATTCGGTTCACCTACCAAAAATGCTGGACTGGGTTGATAGCCCACCTTTGTAAAGGTAAACTGTGATTTCGGGCCATTTTACTCGATGAACATGGTTGGATTCTAAGCACGATTGTTACTCCTCTATATGGGTAGTTGCGGCGATACATTATAAATGTCACGACAACAAATAGTAAATTGTAAATGTCGGACATAAATATAAAATGCCTGGATCAGAATCAATCAAAAGAGAGAGGGGGTGTTTGCCAATACGAGTTACCAGCGGTCGCACTCCGGCCTCGCGTGGTCTTTGTCAATTCGTGTTAAAAACCGCTATGACGAATTACTCGATTCCCCTGTGACATTCATAATTCTTAGCTGTCCAAGAAACTTTTAGGGTAATTGCTTATATAACAGACCTGAGCTTTCCTCAGCTTTTAGTGACCAGCTTCTGAAAGCGCTCAGTGATTTAGGTTCACATCACGACTCGTGTATTATAGCTGGTGACTTCAATCTTATTAATATCATCTGGTCGCCTGAAAAGTGCCACCGTGGCCTCCCGGTAATGGTCTCGCGTTTCAAGTTAAACGCATGAGGGTTGCATCTGGTTGGCGCGAAAATTTTTGCTTCGCTCCGTATAAGAGCTTCAACTGTAATTTTCGAATTCTTCCGAATTTACGGCCCAGCAGGGCAAGTAGATCAAGTACATCAAGTATAACGTACTCGATCTAGTATGGATGTGGTCATATCTGCCCTCTGAACATATTACCCATCCGGCAATTCAAAGTTTTGCCCAGAATCGCATTTGGCCAATTTTTTTCGTCGAAGGATGTGATATTCTTGTTCAGAAGGTCGAAATCTCCCATGAACGAATTTCTCGCTAAAACTTTGAATTGTCGGATGGGTAATATGCTCAGAGAGGGCAGATATGACCGAATCCATACTAGATCGAGTATCGTATACTTGATGTCTGGTGGTCTCCTTGCTGCTGCTGGGCCGTAAATTCGGAAGAATTTCGAAAATTAGAGTTGAAGCTCTTATACGGAGCGAAGCAAAAATTTTCCGAATGCAAACCCGCATGCGTTCGAGTTGGAAGGTAGACCATTACCACGAGGCCACGGTGGTACTGCAGAGGCATCGATCAGCAGCGCTTATGAGCCAGAACTCAATCTTTGACCACCCAAATCTCTCTGGGAGGTCCCAGCATTCGAGGGAGCACTTTTAATCTGCATATTCGTAATCAGCATTCGAGGCTCTATCGATGTACCTAGGTCTCCATTCAAAGTTCCATGGGAAGTTCAAACCATTCCCGTGTCAGTGTCTGAGTTCAGCGAGGTCTTTGATTTCTCCGCCGCTGTAGACCACTCTGTCGAGCTAATCCCAGACCCGGTAATCGACGAGGTTCAGAACAGGTAGCACACCTGGATTTTCCGTTTTCTTCAAGTACTCAACGCCCTTCAATTCCGAGTAGGCGAGAGTTTTTCCAACGCCCTTGAATTCCATGCTGTTCGATGTAACACTCAGTGTTCACTGTCAGTCGAGGTACACGAAGACAATACGGTCTTCCCATCCCGAGAACTTCCGGTCCATACCATCAACCCGCCCCTTGGCGACTGTAGTGAAGATATCCTGGTTTGTAGCGACGTTGTCGGAGCTGCTCGATGTGGAGGTCTTCCGGATGAAGAGTGCCATCTCCAGCTAGTGCCCATGCGTGACTGTTTCGTAGCTGTTAGAAGGTACGTGAATTCCATAAGCCTGCTCCAGTCAATCTGCGATTGGAGATGGCTTTATATTTTGATGTACATGAAGGCGGTGGGCGAGAAACATCTTAGGTATCCTCGACCTGGTACTCGTATCCATTCCATCTGTACTCATAGTGACTCATCCGAAAGGTCTTTTTTAGTGGGCCCTGCATACGGATGGGCTGGAGTATGCGCGACACGCGCCAGAGTTAATGCAGTAATGTCGCCGTCGCCTGTAGCACGGAAGCCAAACTTTTTCGCGTTAGCAGATATGATATTCATATTCAGGGGGTGCGACACCATAGAAGACAAGTTCTCAGCGAAGTTGGTGATTTAGAGTATTTTGAGTCGCCTGTGGCACGGGCGCAAGGCATTCGTGGCGAGCGAGTGTGATATTCGTGTTCAGAGAGTCATATACCCCTGAGAACAAGTTTCCAGCGAATATAGCAAGCTAGGGTAACTGGCGCCTGCGCCTGTAGCGCGGGCGCCAGGCCGTTCGTGCTAAGCGACAGTGATATTCGTTTCCCAAGGTTAAGCTACCCCTAGGGACACGTTTCCAACGAATTCGGTTGCTTGCACATCTTTGTTATTAGTACACATACTCAGACAGCATTGTCTGACACCTTCTCACAAGATATAACGGCTGTCGCCCACCATTGTGTGACGTCGTCGTCAACGTGTTAAGTAGAACTCGCTCCTTTGTTACCTTGAACCAGCTCGCTAGAAAGGAAGACCTTGGTTCAGATTCCAGGTAGATCAGATTTGTGGCATGGTGTGATAACGGCTTTCATTTTCAGTAAAGAAATTCCCATTCACGCCTCTTTTCTATCTGTGCTTTCCTTCTTCTGCTAAAGTTCGAACAACAAAGGAATATCTAGCAAATCATGCACCATGTGGACATTTTCCCCCTTACGATTCCCAGACATCGTCTTCCCCAACCCAGATGAACGATGTGCAGTTGGTTTAGACTCCCTGTTTGGTTATTTCCCCTCCCTGTTTCGTTCGCTTCCTTTCTACTTTGCAGTCACGAGTATCCCCATATAAAAATAGGTTTTCTGTTTGTGCGGAGATCCGGTTCTACCTGAAGAATCACTTGGAGAGGACGGGTTAAAGTCGGGATGGGTTGGGCATGGGACAAGATGTACAGAGCACACGTGACAGTTAGCGGCCACATATTCAAGAGAGTCCGAGTTCAGAAAGAAAGGTGATGGAGGAGAAAGGCTTTGACAAGAGTTGAGCTCGCATGTTGTTCCCTGTGAGCCACTGACAGTAGGCAGAGCTTGCCCTGAAGCATGAGGTACTTACTCAAACAATTGTAGCTCGCTCCCAGAGGACTCCAGAGACCGGTCAAGTGGATTAAGGTCACCAAGGGGTTAGCAGTCAAGAAGTGCGAGACAAACGTGCTGTGGCGTTAGCCAGGGTGAGGAGGCTTAGTTCAAAAATCCATAAAATCCTTTCAGAGCTCCCCCCCTCACCCAAACACTGATACAAAGTGGATTAAGGTCGGCAGGCAAGAATATGGAGGCACACAGGGGCGAGCCGAGCGTGCACCGAGATGGAAGGGCCAAAGGCAGAAGTGCGGGGTTCAATCCCGGAGCAGCTCAGACACCGGGAAAAAGTGGATTGAGGTCAACAAAGGGTTCGCGGACAAAATTAGACTGTCCTGAAATGAGTGAGCCGTACTCAAGGAGAGCGGTGCTCGCTATAGAGAACCGCTCTTCTTGAGTACGGCTCAAGAAAAGCGCTTCTCAAAGCTTGGTCCTGAGAAAGTTTGGAAATCGGAAAAAATCGTTGGGAAGAAGGAAGATCTGGTAGGAGTTGAGTGTGCGTAGGCGAGACCGCCAGTAGGGGGGACGCCTACAGCCACAAGGTACTTGCCTAAAAGAGTCGTTCAGCACCAAAGCACTCCAGAGACCGGGGAAAGTGAAGTAATGGGAACAAGGCAGCAGTTCATAAGAGCGAGTCACATCTGCTGACAACAACTGTGCGCAAATTTCTTCACTCTGTGCATTTTTTGCGCTCATTTCAACACTTGACGGTATCTGTGGATGCTGAACCACTTTCTTTCTTTCTTCCTTTCTGTCCCCACGGTTGCGAACACACCGTCACGGAAGCCCATTTGCAGATGTCCTACGCCCCTGAGTGTATGTGACCTGCAAGTGATTAGCGCAGAGGGGACCATGTCTTAGAGGAAAGTGCAAAGGAAGACTCTAACGTAGTGTTGAAAAAAGAAAGTGTTGACTGATTCCAGCGAAATGATTTAGTTTTGCGGTTCTTCTTGCCTAAAATTTCGCAAAGCATGAACGCAGCAGACAGATCTCGTTTTTATTCAATTGTTTTCCTTCAATTTCGTCCTGTCAACAAATGGATCTATATTGAGAGAGAAATGAGTTCACTTCCTATCTTATCATTGTCCTCAAAGTTAGCAAAATTGAAAACATTTTTCTAAGTTGCTGTGAAATTTCCTCACTTAAATTTCCTCACGTAAGTTAATCGATCCTTTGAATATTTGCGATCATCCAACCTTCACTGCTTTTGTTTTGTGGCCATATCGTCTAGGGATGTCTTTTTGAAGTGGAGAGAAAAAAGAAAGCCGATTGATAGGTGGAACTATTTGTTCAATATGGCCTAACGTTTCGACTGAATAGTCGTCATCAGAGGCCATATTGAATAAATAGTTCCACCTATCAACCTCGTAGGGCACAAAACAAGTTGAGAACTTACATCTAAAATGCAGGGGAAGAGAGAAGCCGATTGTTTTTTAAATCACAGCGTCCCGTTTGATAATCGCGCGCGCGGCAATGACGATGCCGCGCTTACTCAATGGGAAATTATCTACTACAGTATTTTGGGCTTCTTCAAAAAACTGGTCAAATGTGTGCACTATGATCTGAAACTGGATGATCACAGCCCCATACAAACAAATCTCACTTTCAGGCATGACTGATGTGCTGAGCTCGCCGGCAATCAAGTCGGGTAATGTGTTGGCACTTCTGAATACACTTTACACGTCAGGATTCGCTTCACCGTCACCAAGCACTCCAATGCTTAAAGGTAGGTTTGACTGTCGCGATGCCAAATGCATAACAGCAATTGCTATGGTATAGCAATAAGCACGAAGAAGTGTCGCGAAGAAGTGTCGCGAAGAATCTACTCGGAACTGTCCCTTTCTTCTTCTTCTCCTTCTTCTTCTTCTTCTTCTTCTTCTTCTTCTTTCTTTCATTCTTCTTCTGCTTCTTCTTCTTTTCTGCTTTCTTCTTCTTCTTCTTCTTCTTCTTCTTCTTCTTCTTCTTTCCTCTCTTCTTCTTCTTCTTCTTCATTTTCTTCTTCTTCTTTTCTTCTTCTTTCTTATTCTTCTTCTTTCTTCTTCTTCTTCTTCTTCTTCTTCTCTCTTTCTTCTATCTTCTTCTTCTTCTTCTTCTTTCTCTTCTTCTTCTTCTTTTCTTCTTTCTTCTTTCCTTCTTCTTCTCTTTTCTTCTTCTTCTTCTTCTTCTTCTTCTTCTTCTTCTTCTTCTTCTTCTTCTTCTTCTCTCTTCTCCTTGTCTTCTTCTCTTTCTTCTTCTTCTTCTCTTCTTCTTCTTCTTCTTCTTCTTTCTTCTCTTCTTCTTCTTCTTCTTCTTCTTCTTCTTCTCTTCTTCTTACTTCTTCTTCTCTTTTCTTCTGTTCTTCTTCTTCGTCTTCTTCTTTTCTTCTTCTTCTTCTTTCTTCTTCTCTTCTTGTCTTTCTTCTTCTTCTTCTTCTTCTGTTCTTCTTATCTCTGCTTCTTTTTCTCTTCTTCTTCTTACTTCTTCTTCTTCTTCTTCTTCTTTCTTCTTCTTCTTTTCTTCTTCTTTCTTCCTTCTTCTTCTTCTTCTTCTTCTTCTTAGCGTTAGTCCCTCAGAGTCCGCTGTTCTTCTAAGACGCTGCCATTCGCTGCAATCCACTGCATCTTCTGCCATGGCATTCACTTCACTGAGATCCTTGTTGATGACGTCCCTCCACATTTTCTTTGGAGTTCGAGGTTGTTTGCCCTCTACTTCGAATTCCAACGCCTCCCTACTGAGTGGACTTCTGGCCTTCTCAGTAAGCACCTATACTATCGCAATCGCTGCTCCCGTGCCTTCAACTGCATAAAAGCCGTCTGTGTGACCGCCCTAACGTCATCGTTTTTGAATCTAGCCGTGTTCAGCTGCAGGCCCATCTTAGCATTTTCACGTCAGCTGAGTGAAGCTGCCTGTCATGGCTTCAGCATATGGGTCAGCACTCATTGCCGTAGAGCATTGTAGGCCTTATCACCGCCCGGTACACCTTGCCGTTGAGCGTTCTCGAGCACCATCGGTCGCAGAGGATGCCAGTGGACTCCCTCCATTTCATCCAGGCTGTGTTGATTCGGGCATTCACCGCCTGGTCCACGCTGCCGTCAGCTGCGGTGTTCCCCCACAGGTAGATTCTGATAGCTCGTCTCCAGCAACACTCACCTCGTCTCGAACAGTCTTATGCTTTAAAAGTTCTCTGTAGAGTGCCAAAAAGCCGGGATGGTTCTCTAAAATTTGCTACTAGGGTGAAAAGCTATACTAATTTGAAAATGACTGTAGTAACTGAAAAACGCGGTCTTCAAATATTTTACTGTGGTGCTTTTTCATTATAAAAAAAAGCTAAACCACAGCAAGAACATGCCGAAAAATCTGTCAAGTGTACGGCGAAAACGTTGTTAGTGAACGAAGAACCCAGAAATGGATTTCTAGATTACGTTCCAAAAATTTGGATGTAAAAGGTGCCCCTCGCTCTTGCCGGCCAGTGTTTGGTGGGACTAGAAGGGAACTGCCATGTTATGAGTTGTTGCAACGTAGCGAACTTATCAATTCGGTTATGTAATGTGCACGACTCGACCGATTGAGAAGCGATTAAAGAAAAAATACTATCAGCCAACAGAGAGGGAGTCTTTTTTCATCATCACAGGGCGCGGCCACACACATCTTTGATGGCTCGGAACAAACTGAAATATGGTTAGAAAGTTTTGATGCACCCACCGTACAGTCCGGACCTCGCACCGTCTGGCTATCATCTATTTCGATCTCTGCGAAGCTCCCTTGATGGTAATAAATTTGCCGACCGAGAGCCGCTGAAAATCACTTGACCAGTTTTTGCCGATGAACCACAAGATTCCTACACCTACAGCATCACCAGGAACGGTGCTAATCTGCCTAAAACTCGCAATAATGTGATGAGTTGCGCGCAGTTATGCAGAACTACGAGCGACGCATGTGTGAGACAGCCAGACTAGGAACTAGCAACTTCTTCAGGCTATTTGCAAAACTTCGCTGATAGTCAGTATCGATCTGGTCATCATTCACATCGCAACATGTACTGTTGACGGTGCGCTGTCGTTACACCATCACAATTGCTACGATCTCGCGGATCAAGCAAAGAACCGAATACGAGCAACAGTTGGGGAGCCTGGAAGATGTTCGGAACGCATTACGATGTCCAAGGGGCTATATGAAATATTACAACAGTCCCATTATCTGGCAGAACCAATTTTTACAAAAACCTAAAAAGTTGTTTCATGGCGACTAACCTCTAAACATGAGCATCACTACCAGTCTCAGTCCAGTGGCATACTCTCCTCACCACTCGTTTTTCATGCTGATATGTATTTTGTCCAACTTTGGTGGGAAGACTAGCACACTCAACACCAAGTGGAACACTGGATACAAAAAAGGGACAAAAAAGCAACGAATCAGAGGGTAGTGCTGACCAGAATGAATTCGAGAAAAAATCCCCTCCTCGTCTTTGCCATCTCCATTTGAACACTCGCCATAGACTTTTGTAGCTTCGACGTGTTACCTCTCCATTTCGTTTGTCGCTTCGACGTGTTACCTCTCCATTTCGTCATCATCCCGCCTTTACTCAGGAACTTTTCCCATAACGGTTGCGTAAAACGCTTCAACGTAGTACAGAGGTGACCATCTTTGCTGGGAAGTCCCCCGGAGAACTTTTCGAATTTCACTGCGGAGGGCGTTTCACCGCGTATGATAACAGCGACCGCTTGCGTCCGTCCAATTTGCGTTATCTTCTCCTGTCTTTCTATCCAATTCGACAGCGACGTGATTACGTCGAACTTAAACGGCTGATAACAATGTTGAGCAGAGGTCGTGGTCACCACGAGATAACCTCGAACATTTTCACTCGAGACCTCGCGAATAGGTGTTTTGGGTGGTCGAAGACATTCAGCAGCATGTTCGGGAAAAGATTCACCCGATCCTCATCGCGAGCTGATGGTTACGTAGCAACGCCCAGTTCAAGCCCCATTACTACCGTGCCAGAAAATGGAGAAAGGTCAAAGATGATAATATTCAATAGGTACTTGATTGGAATTTATTTGCAATCAAGAAGATGTTGGTTCAAATATTAGGTCATCGCATTCAAAAGTGCCCAGTATTTTATTCGTATAAAACGAAGAGGAAAACTGATAAAAATGTAATGTTTTGGCTTTGAGTTGAGGAGATCCCTTTCACCAATGATCCGCCCCCAGTGCCCCGGAGGCCTTTGAACCTTTGATACCTTCGTTTCATCATGTGCGAGTAAATTGCTGTTGATGCCAATTTCGACGAACCCTACCCTCGACTGACCAGAACAGTCGAATCGAACGGCTTTATATTGGGCGGGTGAAGCGATTAAATCCAGGTCTCAGTATTATTTGTGGACCAGCACTGCCCCACAATTCAGTTACTCGGAGTCTGGCACTGTGACCACCAACGGTGGCCTCCTTGTAGTTGTCTAGTGTCATCCATTTGTCGATCTGATTGCCGAGGGACAGGCAATATATACCGACAGCTACAATTTTATTCTCTGTATAGAGCCGCCTGAAAGCCACAGTGTGGGAATCCCTCGCTATGACGATCATCCACTCGCGCCCACGTAACTCCTCATGGTAGAACTCGGGCGGCTTCTCATCTGCATTCATACAAAATTGACGATTGTGAGTTTTAGCTCGAGGTAGAAATCCACCCATATTTCATCTAAGCAGAAATGCGTTTTCACAGTCGTGAATGACATCTTATGCTGAGAACATTACTGCTAGGGGCATAGAATCGGTACAGCGTTCGCGCTTCTGCAAGAAAATTAGGTACCCATGCGCACACCCTCTTGACCATCCTCAGTTTATCGGACATTGCTCGGGCAGCAGTTGCAACAGGGACGTCAGTCTTGCGGGGAAGCTCGGAAAGGTGCATGCTCTGTGATCAGACGTTCAGCGCTTGACTTCATCCACCCTTTTTTTCTTGGGCAGGATGAACAGTATGGGACCATTTACGACAACAAGTTTTTCCTTTCTTCCTTCTGCGGGCTCCTGGACCAAACCTTCCACCTTGTATTTCGAGAACACCATTACACACAACTACTGGTCCGGCGCGGGTCAAATTTGAGCACTTCCTTCTTATGACGCCTAATTTGAAAATCCGGCACTGGTTTTTACCACTCGGGCTTCTTTTTAACTTCTCGAGAATTTCTTCTATGGGTAGTTTCGTCAAATTTCACAGATACATAGCTAAAGGTACCAGCCTCCAAATAGTATAGTAGCCTGCTGCTCTATGCCCTTTGCTTTTCTGCCACTACTTTATATGTCTCGGCACTTTTGAATGGGATGACCTAATATATGGAGGGAAATCGCGGAGACTTCTCATACAGCCTAATATTTATAGCGAGCCCTGTGATAGCTTCATTCTAGAAACGTGTGAGACTGAGGCTTAAATAACAAACAACTAGTGAATACTGTTTTTTCAGGAAGGACAATGCACACGCTGTACGCTGTGTCTTTTATAATATATGTTTCGAATTGTATGTGTGATTGGTTCCACGTATGGGCAACACTAAAGGTTGGCAATTTTTGGAAAGTGCAGTAAGTGTAGCCTAGGCAAGAGTCCCACGACGAATACCCATGCTACTTACCTTGAGTATTCAGTATTTGTGATAACTCTGCCCCGAAATTTCAGGGACTGGTTACTTCATTTCCATTAGAAAATTGGCTTATTGTTTCCCTGGTTGGAACAGTGGTCGCTGGATCAATGTTAACCTGGTTATTGCTGGTTGGTTCCTTCCGTATGACGAAATACAAATTTCATATCAAGTTCTTGGGCTCAATTTTCAAATTGGGCTTGAAGACAACCCAACGTCCGCTTCCAAAGACGGTCGTTTTCATGTGTGAGGTAAACGAGTTCACAGCTGCGATTGCGTGCCACTTGCTGCTCTCAAAGATGCACGGAAACTGGACTGGAGGGTAGGGACCCTCGGTGCTCACTCCATACCTTGCCTCCATATACTCGAGATGCACCACTTAGGCAGATACCACTGTAACGTGCGGAGTATGGAGTCGGCCCTGGAGTATCACTACCGTTCATCCTCGTTCCCGTGCAATTTGAGCGGAGAAAGAGGCATGCTTTTCGGCCCACACATGGCAAGAACCGGGATCCGCGGAGGTGAATGTGCAGTTTGTCTTCAACTCAGTTGCACTTATGACGTGACCATCTTCCTATCCATATATATGGTAGGTGAGGATTTGTGAGTCCTCGAAAATATCAGTAGTTTGAATATGTGGGTGGCGATTACAGCCGATGCACCTCAATGGCGATCGGATCGCGCCGAACGATATACACACGTTCGGATCAAGGCACATCGTCGTGATGCGGAAATTTGCTAAGCAGAGCCCCCTTATCGTTTTTTCGTTGATACGACCCCTCAAACTCAGCCGAGGGTGGGGAGTGGGAGGTTGTACCAAATGTGTTCATCATAGGCTTCTAAGTTGGCTATGAATGAAAAAGTGAATGGAAAGTTATGCTCACCTTGAGCAAATATGGAACATAATGATGAACTGAGGTGGGGTGGAGCAGTGACAAGTGGTGTGCTTACCCCTGGCGCGGTCACGGGTTCGAATCCTTAGTCGACTCCTGCCCAGGCCGAGCAAGCTTTCTATCCTCCGGAGACGGTAAATTGGTACCAGATTCGTCGTGGAGATAAGAGCACGATCCGTACATTGCCTGGCCCGGCACGTCATTGTATAGGCAAGTTCGCATTCAATAAGACACCAGGATTCTGAATGGAAGCAGAATGCGTGCCGCATTCATCAAAGGGAATGATCAACGGTGAAGACTCTATTCTTATTCTTCAATGGAGAACTAGGCCTATGTTTTGGCTGCCTTCCTCACTCGGGGGCGTGGGATTCCCTTTTCGAACACGAAACAGCAGCAGGAGGTTTGCCGGGACAATGACGAGAAATACCGATTTTGCTCTGTATAACTGGGCCGCCCTTCTATAGCAGACCCTCGGTTCTTTTGACCGCTGGCGAAGTGATCTCTCACAGATCGAAAGAAGCCTTCCGCTACTCCTGATCTCCACATCCTCCTCCCTCCGGGATCCAGCGTCCTCGACGGTGTTGCTCTCGAAGGTACGGCTGCGGAGGGAGCGCAGTGCTTTTGAGGGGAAAGCACGTCACTTTATCCGCTTTAAATTTTGGTTTGCTTGCTTTTTTTCCTCACTGTGATATCCATTCTACTCTCAGAAATGTGCTCCGGTAGCATTCTCAGTATCTCGAAATGAACCTGTACTGGTTCTGAGTTTCCATCTATTCGAGCGATCCGTGCCGCTTTATCATTTGTTTATATTTATGGGTGTCTATCTCTTTTATATGGAGTTTCGGCATCATCAATTCGCTCCTCTTCCTAGTGAAAGGGATTGCATTTTGTCTGTTTCCTACCTCAAGCACTCCTGCAGCTCTTTTCTCTGATGCAGGCCACACAATATGCTCCTTAGTGTCCTCTTCGCTGTTACAGGGTTCTTGCACCATTCCAGTGTCATCAAGCTGTACGTCTTTCCTTTGTTCCACGCTCATTTTTCAGAGTCTGTTGTTCTTTGAGAAGAAGGTTCTGCTGGTCCCGGTAACTTGATCTGAACCCCTAGGATTTTTGATGCGTCTGTATCGAGCAGTACTTCTTATCCTTCCCCTTTAGATATGTAAAAATCAACTTCAATTTCCTCTACATCTTTAATGTTAACTGCTACGAATACACCGTCAAGGAGCTCTATACGGTTGTTACATGCACTGAAAACAACACCGAGTGTACAGCTCCTCTCTTCGTGAAACCTCGACACTGTTTTTGCGTTTAATAATTTCTTCTGTGCGCAAAGTTGTTTGGTGGAGTATTTATAAATGTCAATGCCTAATGTTTCGACTAGATCGCCTTCATAAGAGGCTCGAACTTGACTCGTGGATTTTAACTGCGCTAAACGCTGAACCGCCAATTTCTCCCTCCCCCTAACGTCGTAACGGACGGAGTAGTGAGAAAATCGTCGGAGAATCCCGAATGAAAGAAAGAACTTACCTAGCCTACCACAGCGAAAGCGGGAGCAGCGCTAATAAGTTGCTGGTAGAATATGTGAGACTTACTGTGCCAATTTTCTATAGCGGATATAGTCAGGAGTGGCACTCCCACCATTCACATCAGCAATTCGCAGTGCGGTCCAAGTGGCAAGAGGTCATTTGTTATGGGTAGCCACTCATTGCGGTTGTTCATTCTAGGATTTCTTGCAAAGATCCAGATGCTCAGGCGCTTTTCTATCAAAAACCTCAGTCTCGCATGCTAGGCACTGCACTTCACATCAAGTCGTTTCCGTTGTGCTCTTCGATCTAATGCCCGCCGAGTGGTGTTTTATATTACCACGACTTTTGCCAGCAAGATGTTTTTTGACGAGTATTGCTAACGGTCTTCCAGTCTCCCCAATTTAAGTTGCGTTACATTCCAAATATTCAGTGTGATAGATCTTACACTTTTGGCGCAATCTCCACTTAAACCTTGCGGACACGTAACGCACTGCTTTGACATGCACTCTCTGTCGTTGAGTCTGTTTCGCACAGTTGGCTTTTGATGTTATTATTAAGAATACTCATAATAAAACGTCGTTGTTCAACTGTGCGCGAACAAGACATCTCTGAATTGCGGCATTACTTTATGTACTATGAACGGTATGGATCATTGATCAGTCTTGATCTTGAAGGAGTTACAGGCACTGTAGGGGATTGTGAAATCCAAGATGAGCCTGTGATCCTGATCAGCCTTGACCAATGTTACAGGTACATAAGGCCGGTACTTTCTGCAATAAACATTCTACTATTCGTCTGCAATAGAGTTTATTCCTATCCGTCTCCAGCGCTCTAGGACATTACACTGGCGATCAGGACCAGAGACCTCTCACCAGGGAAGTCAGCCAAGTTACCATGGAATTTTGAATGGAGACCTGTGTAGATCGATAGAGTCTATGAGATTACTTACAAACATATAGATAGCAAAACTGCAACCTGCGTTTCACAAGCAACTATGAACAGGTAAGGTTTGTAATGGTGCAGTACGGTGGAGGCTTGGTGGTGAGCTGTGAAGCATAAGCGAGGAGTCGCATATGTCGAGTTGAGTTGTAGTGGTTCGGTGGTAAGATTCGACGGTCGACGACTAAGTTCGAGGTATGCGATTCTTGGCTTATGCTCCCTCACCTCCAAGTTTCCACCCTACTGCACCATGGCAACCTTTAGCTCATAAGTTGCTTGTGAAATGCAGGCTGCAGTTCTGCTATCTATTAGGTCATCCCATTCAAAAGTGCCGACGGTTTTATTCAAATAAAACAGATGAGAATAGGCAGAAAAGCGATGTTTTAGCTTCAGTTAAGTCAATCCCTCCTTCACCAATGACCCGCTCCCAGTACCCCGAAAGCCTTTGGACCTGTGGTACCTTCAGTTTTTCAACAACTGCGAGTGAATTGCTGTTGATGCCAATTTTGGCGAATGACAAAGTATTGTAGTGTTTGCCGTTGGAGAGTACCCTTGAGTGACCAGAACAGCTGGAATCGAACGGCTCTAGGTAGGGCGAATGGGACGATTGCACCCAGGTCTCAGTATTGCTTGTGTCCCATCACTGCCCCACAGTACAGTTACTCGGAGTCTGGCACTATGACGAGCAACGATGGCCTTCTTGTAGCTGTGTGGCATCATCCATTTGTCGATCTGATTGCCCAGAAACAGGCAATATACACCGACAGCGACGATTTTATTCTCTGTATAGAGCCTTTAGAATGCCACAGTGTGGGAATCCTTTGCTATAATGATCATTCACTTGCGCCCACGTAACTCCTCATGGTAGAGCCCGAGCGGCTTCTCATCTGCATTCATACAAAATTAACGAGTGTGAGTTTTGGCTTGAGGTCCAAGATCACCCACATTTCACCTAGGACCGGGGTGCGGTTTCACAATCGTGAATGACATCTCATGCTGAGAACATTACTGCTAGAGGCATGGAATCGGTACTGCGTTCATGCTTCTACAAGAAAATTGGGTACCCATGTGCACACCCTCTTGACCATCCTCGATTTATCGGACATAACTCGGGCAGCAGTTAGCAACAGTCTTGCAGGTAAGCTCGGCAAAGGTCCAGGCTCTGTAATCAGATATTCAGGGCTTGACTTCATCCACCCTTTTTTTCTTGTGCAGGATGAACAGTGCGGGACCACCCACAACAACAAGTTTTCCCCTTTCCTCCTTCTTCGGGCTCCTGAACCAAATCTTCCACCTTGCATTTTGAGAACATTATCACGCACAACTACTGGTCCGGCGCAGGTCAAATTTGAGCTGTGCATTTTCCTCTTATGAAGCCCGATTTGAAAATCCGGCGCTGACTTTCACCGCTCAAGCTTCGTTGCAATTTCTCGAGAACTTCCTCTAAGGGTAGATTTGCCAAATTTCACAGATACACAGCTTCCAGATGGTATAATGGCCCGCTGCCCTATCCCCTTTGCTTTCCTGCCATTCCTCTGTATGTCACGGCACTTTTGAATGGGATAACCTGATATATTTGTAAGTAGCCTTATAGTCTCTATCGATCTACCCAGGTCTCCATTCAAAATTCCATGGTAAGTTGGCAGACTTCCCTGGTCAGGAATGGACGCTCTACCTGCCCGTCTAAAAACAGCTCAATCATATTGAATAAATGAGCGAGTAGCTGTGATCGTCAAGCTTATGGAGAAGATGTCAGCCGCCGGCGGTCCGCTCGTCAACAAGGACAAGCATGTTATTTTCGAGTTGCTCTACCGCCGAGTCGAGCCGTTCAACTATGATCATGACAGAGACCGCACGTTCGAAATTTGGTTTGAGTGGTACCAGGCCTGTTCAAAAACGAGTGTGACGACTTCGACGTTGAGGACAGAACGCTCGTTTCGCGTCTGGACGAGACTGCCATCGGTTGCTGACCGGCTAAGACACTATTGCGTCGCCGTTTCAAATGCTTCAAGATGATGCATGACGACCAAGACTTCAGTAAACGCTCCTAATGAAGATGAAGCATACAGATGCCAAGCTGGACACCATCGACTTTGACGGCATATAATGTCCACTCCACAATGGTGGACTCCAAGGCAGGGCACAGCATTCGATGAGAATTTTGGTGAAGCCCGTACGACCCCCCCCCCTCTTTGGGGGTTCGGTACGGCTCCCCTATACCTAAACCTAAAAAGTTTCTTCCCCTTCCCCCCTCCCCGAGGAGGAAGAAACTTCATAAGTTTATGTGTAAGTAAGCGCGAAAAATGGAAAAAGTAAAAATCCTGAATGAGGCCCCCTCGCTTTTTGCTTCTATCCTATTTCAGAAAAGAGAACAGAAAAGAAAGGCCATTAGGTTTCATCCACCTTCCCTCGAGTCAAAACAAACTCTGGTACCTAAATCAATTGCGATCAAAAGAAAAAAAACAGGAAATCAAGCCAATTCCTCCTGTGAGCACTCCGAGCGGTCCACGCGAAATTGCTGGGGCGCGCTCTGACGTGTATTCGAGTAAACTAGACATATTCTTCTGACATAGATGCTTACGACTGCTATATGCTCCATCCCCTCGGGGATTTCTCGACTAAGAAAACTGTCAGCAAGTTTAATTACACCTGTGTAGAGGTCGCCTACTTGTTTGACTCGCAGCTTCACCACTTCTGGGAGAAATGGATCTCTAACCTGCCTATTGGATGTAGCACTGTGGTGACCAACAATGGACAGTACACTGTTAATTAATTTCTATTCTATGTTGAGCGAGAAAGTAAAAAAGAAAAAATTGCAACAGTTCTTTCGCAGTGTACCACAAAACCTATGCACAAACACCTTCACTTCAATCACTTTACAGGTTCTTTGCATGGAGAATGCCTTTGCACACCGCCTTGACGTAACGCCCTATCGTAGTGGATTCACTTTGATATGGGAAGCACTTGTTGACTGGATACAGGTAAGAGACTGAATAGACGTGTGCCGCATATCATCCAACTTCTTAACTCAAGATCTTCAGGATTTTGGCAGCTATTCCCTTCGGAAGAACCGAAGCGGACATAAGGGATAAGTGCCAAATATCCTCAAGTCCGCATGCAGCTTATCTAGGTTGCGCTGTAGGAGGCAATTCTTGGGTCGCTTTTCCGACAGCCCGAGCTCGGGGCCAATCTCACGAAAGGATCAGAATCCGCGCGCAGGACATGGTTATAACATCAAAGGCGAGCTTGCCGCATTAATAAGAGCTATAACGTGCGCATTACATCGCTATACCTGCGGTCCAACACAAAACTTTCCTCTACATCACCGAGATGAGCTTCAGCTTCTTTGGTTGGGTGTCAGCACTATGCACTGTATAAGGCAGCAGATCGAACAAGGGCTCTGTAGACCTTTGTTTGAAGTTTTATGATATCCTTTCAAATGCTGCTTTACGTGTAAGCTCACCCTCTGGCCTTAGGGAAACCGAACTTGCTCGAGTCTTTGTCAAGTGCTTTTTAGATGCAGCTATTCAGTTCTGTCGGTACCACATCGCCCGACCTCTTTCGGTCTTTGCGGTGTGATCTTCAGAGTACAGACCAGTGAGCGATGCTGTCAGTCTCGTATAGGTCTTCGCGTCCAAGAACAAACCCTTGATGCGGTGCTTAACGAGAACGAAGTCTATTTGTTTTGGCACTTTCAAACGAGAACGAAGACTATTTGTTTTGGCATTTTCACGGCAAAATGTGGTTAGGTGAGAGTCGCGTTTACGGATTTCTATGTCCACAATGGCAAAACTAGGAGCTTCTGCATACCAAAGGATGCGCTCGCCACCGACGTTACTTATTCCATACCCAAAACCCAAATCCAAACCACAACTGTAGCCTTCTTTCGTAGCGCCTACGTGTCTGTTTCGATGGCAGTTGGTACGATAAGTCTCTAAGAAGAGCAGGACTGATACCGCCTGGCAGGACAGGATTCCGCGACCAAGCTAGCGAGCGAGATTTATGCAGGTGCTATGTAGCGCCTCTTTTGAGGGAAGCACCCTCAGAAGGGCCATATCGAGCTACAGCATTACGATCCAAGCGCCCATCAACCCGCCCGCCCACAAATGGACGACCGTACCTGACGCTCGTATTGTTTTATTTGCAAAGTAAAATATGAAGCGAAGAGAATGATATGAAGTGGCTGCGGTGCCGCATGGACATATGGGAACGTACATGTAGCCGTACCCATGGTAGCGGTTATTGGCAAGATGTCTATGGAAAACTCGTCCGAAATTGTCATTAAGGAAGAAGGTTTTTTTGCAGGTTTTCGAACGTTTCATTTCACTTTTTCGCCATTTTCCCACTATATGGTGCCATTCCAGCATTTTAGGCCAATTAACAAAATATCGCACCAACTGCTTCAATGACCACCGACAGCGTCTTCTTACGGTGTCTCAGCTTGGAACCAGAACGCGTCCTTGCATCCTCAGCCGTCCTTCCAGAGGAGCAAATGCAGAAGAAAACCACAGTTATTCCCTAACAGCAAAAACAATTTTCACCAGGGCTTCGTCGAAATGTTCCATGTTAGCTATGGATTCACGGAAATGTCAAGAGACAACTACGCCCTTATCATTGATAGTCCTCCGCTTGCCATACAGAGCGCGACCAATGTCTCTCGAGTTGCAACTGGGCGCCATTCGCCTGCGCCCTCGCATAAGTGAATTGAAATATAGGTGTTCTGGTTTATATGTGAGAGGATTGATGACGTTAGATATGTTGCCCCACATTTTAATGTTGTCGTTGTTTCCAAATGGTCTTACCTGTTTTTTCGAGGTATAGTGAAAGAAAAAAATTTTTACGGCATTTATCACCAAAATACTTGTATAAGTACTTGCTAGAATCCTTTTCATTTTTATGGTATATGTGTTCTCCTATTACATCTTTTAGGTTTCTTATGGTTAAATCCACATATATTTGTCCGCATTCTAAGCTGTTAAGACAACACAAATATTACGTTTTTACTGCAACAATTTGCTTGATTGTTAGTATATGTTTATTCATAATTTTGTAGTGTTTGAGGTAACGTAAACTTTGTTATCTGTAAGGGTTGCATTTATTACATCCCATATTACAGTTACTTATATGATTAGAAGTACCAAAGTTGTTGAGTTCTAGAATAAGATATATTAATATTAGGGTGTGGAGCAATTGTTGGGCGGGCATACGGTAAGGTTACTGTAGAGTGGGCGGAGCCCGCCTGTATAGCCTGGCAGCTTGCCTGCGGCGTGACCCTAGTTAATTACCTAGACTGGCTGACCTGCTGACCTCTCGCAAGAGGCTTTTCAAGGACAGAGAGATATACCGAATGCGACTGATTATCAGAGATTGGAGATTATCAAGCGGGGCCTATTCAAGAACAAGTGGAGCAAATCTGCAGGAGGATGGCTGAACATGAACCCATAAGACTAGATGATTTTTGAGGCGCAAAAAGATTTCTTGATTGGTTCTATGTGAATTGTTCAAGTGTTAATAATTATGACAATAATATCATTGGGTTGACCCATAAGTGATGGCGTTTTTACTCACTTAATTTATATATGGAAAATGATATTTTCTTCCAATGAGTTCTACCCTGTCCGATAGATTACTTTCTGCTCTATAAGGTAGCATGATTGTCTTCTTACTATTTCTCGAACTGTGCCAATTTTTATTCGACTGAAAGGGAAATTCGGGCCGACACAGAAATGAGTTTTCGACAACTACTTTTTTAACTTTATCTCGGCTTTTAAACCACAGAAAAAGCGCAAAACTCGTGATACATATAAGAAAGATTTTTCCTATGGCAGCTTGAAGTTAATTCAAGCGATTAATAGGTGGAAATTTGGACCTTGTAAATGTACAACGCATGGGGGGGGGCTCCTGGAGAGCGACGGCCTGCACAACCCATCCACTGATAATCAAACGTATAACATCAATTCCCATCGCTGGTATGAATCTCCATGAATAAGGTTATTCAATAAGCTCTCAGTTGAACTCAATAGGGCATTAGGTCCGATGCTCCTCTGTGAGGTCCATATTGGAATCTTCGAATCGCTTGAACCGTCATAATCATTTCTAAGAGACCAGCCTCTGAGCCATATACTTAGCTTCTGAGTCTGTGCGGCTTAGGCTTTTTGATTAGAAGTGAAATGGTGAGGCTGTCGAAAATGATAATCGACGTGACCTTCCAGTTTGAGCATTTAAATATTAGTGGGAAGAGACAGTCTAAGGAAACTAAAAAAACTACCACGTAGGGCAAGGAATTCTCTACAAAACAGGATAAAACGTTATGGCAAAAATTTTCATCTTCAGCGCGATATTTCGAGTGAGAAAAAAACGCCATTACTTAGGGGCTTCCCCAATAGTTGTTAATAATAATAATTCTTATTGTTTTTATCGTTATTATTATTATTATTATTATTACTATGATTACAATATTGGAATGTAATAAAGTGTAAGAATGTAATAGTAGTTCATTTGATCGTTCAACTCGATACTGTATTCGCATTAGAGCCGCTGAGGTCAGCAGTCGCCTCATGCAAGTTAATGAGGTCACACCCCAAGCGAGACAGCAGTCGCCGCATGCAACTTAATGAGGTCACACCCCAGGCGATAATTAAAAGGGCGAGATAGGCTCTGCCTTATTCTACAGTAAACTTACCGTATACTCGCCCAACAATATCTGCATACCCTTAATATTATATAGTTTTTGGTTGTATTAATGTTACTAATCTACGATATTTCTGAATAATTCTGTTCCGATTCTGCATTACCTTAGCGCAATTGATAAAGTGATTTATAAGATGTTTGAAAACTATGCGTAGTTCTTGAGCCAAGGTCTTAGCATTGCTGCTGTGAGCATCTGTGATGTGTCTAAATTTGGCTGGACATTTTTGTAGCTTTAATAGTGCATATATTTATATATTTATGTATATATAGCAGGTATTTCTGCATCACTGAATAAATCTATGTTATTCACACAAAAAGGGATTTCGCTCTGTGTTTGCTTTTTGCTGTATTAATGAATACTTGTAATTTTGGTGCATTAGTTCATGTGTTACTACTGTTATCATAGACAAATGGCAGCATCATAAGAAATGCCTGCGTCTCTTTCATCACAATAATAAGGCCAAACTTCTTGCAAAAAACGCCATAGTTATTATTAATTGCATTGTCAGTAGACAACAACATGTTGTTCTGATATTGTTTGACTGGGTTTTGAGATATGTGTTCTCCTATATTTTTCAATACTAACCTTTCTCAGTTTCACGTTGTTACGGTGCAGTAACAAATGTTTCTGCAATAGATTACCTTTATGATTGCTAGCTTCATATTTGCATTTGAAAGAATTCATAACCTTTGGGTGTACCTTCTAACAACATTTTAAATTACTGTCTTGTTGTGCCTCTGTCTAATCTACATGTTGTTCCTCTTGCAGCACCAATCTCCTGAAGCGCTCTTTCATAACATTAACTTCCTGCTGTAATGTGCCCATAACTTTCAGTCACATATTCATGTACAGTATTTGCAGCACATATACAATCGTCGTTGAGTATCTGTTTCACTTTCACTGTCGAGATCTTTCAGTACTTTGTTCTGATGCACTTTGCTAGCCACACTGTGCTGCTGTACTTATGAATAATCTCAGTAGGAGTGAGTTTTCTGTTCTTTCACTGTCGCTGAGCGTATATCATTGAGAGTGCGTGAACTGAAGATTTTGTTGAAGGGCACTTCATTAAATGTTTTCCGTAATTTCTCCTGTATAAAAGTGAAAGTGAACTTGCAAGCAGAGGCTTTATTATTTACTGCCTACTGAACCCACGGATATGGGAAATTTAGTAAGCTTGTTAATTTTTTTCACATAAGACCTCGAAAATTCTGTATTACCGCATAATTTTGAGTGTTCCATTATTACATGTTATCTCTTCCGTATTTGGCGTGTTGCTTAAGTTGTTGCTTAAGTAGTTTATATTGTTTCTCTTTTCTCTATTATCCCTATTTTGTAAATTTAAGTAGGAAGAAAGGATGAATACCCTTTACCTGGGAGGATTCATTATATTTGTAATTCACCAAATCCCTTTATACTATCATCCAACCCAAAAAGGCAGTGTCATCAGAAGCTTAACCCAAAAAAAGCTCCTTCATTATCAATGTAGTTTCGTCATTAGATTACATACAGTCTAGTACTATTCCGTTATACCTTTATCACACTTTCAGAAGTGATTATATAACGTTATGTGTTCTTCGTGTGAAGAGAAATTGGGAAGGTATTCCCTAGTCCTTTCTCTCAATTTTCTTATTGTCATTCCAACACATTGTATTTCACGACCACTGCATGTTAAAAACTACGCTACATCTTTAGCGTTATTATCTGTGTCCGCTTCTTTATATATGTTAATAGTTATACTGGTAACGTGTGCTGCAATGTAGCTATCTGTATTAGTTATATTACATGTTCTGCACTTTCTTATACATTTGCAACCCTTATCATTACCAAACTCGTTGAGCTAGAAGTGATTGGGTCCACCACTTACCTGGCCTGGTTTCGGTGTAACAATTTGTAAAGCACGTGTTGGCATTCTTTAACCCCACATTTTCTAACCCCAATCCCACGTTCTATGGCATGATTGAACGAATCCACATGCATAAAGAAGTCTTCCCAAAGGTTTGGCAGGGCTGTTGCTCGGAGGGTAACTCTCTCTGCAACAAGTACCATCTCTGGGGCGCTGGAAGCTGGCCCCTCCTGTCGTTTTCTGACTTGTAAGCCCCGTCAGCGCAGATCCCTTTTTTGAAGAGATGTGACCCAGTTGACCCAGTTTTCCGAGAGGTATGACTCTCCTGTGTGTAAATACAATTATGTGCCAGAAGCATGGGACATGTAAAACACAAAAAAGAAAAAAGGAAAGAATGGGAAAACGCGCGGATACAACTAATCATTAACAAGCACCGCAAATGTTACAAAAATGGAAACTACTTTTGTAGCCTTTGAAAATTCAAACAAAACACATGTGCTTGTGTCCGTGTTATGTGAAAGATAAGGTTTGCTAGTAATACTTAGAGGATACTCTAGCCAATGTGGAATTAACACAAATAAACAGGTGTCTTCTCTGTGATTGATAGAATCATACCCTTCCAAGTATTTATCTCATAGACGACGTTTCGGGCTTCATACCCCTCTTCAGGTCTACAAACATTATACTCAAAGCCTACACCAACATCATCAAGTTTACAAACATAGACAAGAAATTCGAAGAGGGAAACAATTAACAAATAACTGACCTGCTTCCTGCGGGAAGGAGGGTTGGGGTGTGAGGGGATCCTGGAATATGCTGCAAGATGGTCAAGATGGTAGTAGTAGACACACTGCTATTTGTCATATGGCACGTATCACCAGTTATGTCACATCATTGTGCAGCAATAATCTCCATTACCCTTCTTAGCTCCTCCCTGTTGTTGATCGATGCTGATCCCACCTTCGAATCTCCTGCGCTTCTTTTGATTCCTCTCCACCGGATCACTTGTGTTGGTGCAGATTACGCACATCTTGAGTTCAGGTGACGCTCATGGGCTTGGGGCGAGGTTCGGGAGAGGGTCATCCTGATAGCTCGGTGGGTTCCGGAAATTTCTCTCAGATTTTCATCAAGCCTTTTGTAGAGTGGTCGTCCAGTTTTTCCGATGAAGAATTTCGAACATAACTCACACTCCACTTAGAAAACGGTTTTCTTCGAAAGGCGGATCTTTCGTTCCTCCTGGCAGTAAAGACAATTTTCGCGGCCACCTTGGTCTTCGTATACTCGTGATAACGTAAGAAGACAACGTAGTGTTGGCGGCGGTCGAAATATCAGGCGGGTTGGCATCCTCATATTCCTTTCAAGTTGACTGACATCCTTCGCGAAAGAGTTCGAGAGAAAGGGTATCACTAGTGGAACGTCTCGTGGTGCCTGATATGGGCGTCAACAATTTACGCGTTCGCTTCCAGACCCACTTTTGAGAAGTACACGCGTTACGAAAGCTATCACTACAGGAACGTTTGTGGACGTGAACCTCCG